TTTTAATGGCTCTAATGTTTTTTTGTGGGTGGACCACAACGACGCCATTAAAACTCACAATAGCATACCAAACTTTATCGATAAGAAATTAGAGTGACAATTTTCACAGACATTTCAATAGTAACCACATTGTCACATTTTTCTGCTAAAACAAGATTAAATTTTTTGGTGAATCCTTCGGTTTTCCTTACCCTCTTTAGTCTGTTTATGGCAAAGTGTCTGAAGTCAGATTAGCAATTCTAACTAATGCAGATGAATATCTTTCATTTTCTTGAGTAGATTTTCACTTACAAATAAAATCTTTTAATAGTACTATTACTACTACTACTACTACTACTACTACTACTACTAATAATAATAATAATAATAATAATAATAATAATAATAATAATAATAATAATAATAAACTTTAAGTATTTCTCTTTTATTAATCATGTTTCTGCTTTTATCTTAAACAAACAAAGAAATTCCTTCATCCCCCTTTTATTAAACTTTGCTACATACAGAAGCACTGACCTATAACCCTAAAATCTCACCTGCCCACACATGGAAAAAAAGTCAACTCAAATGTTTTCAAATTATATGTCTGTCTTTTAATAAGGGACCCTTTTTATATTTTGGATCTAATTACTCATCTACAAAAATTACACTGCTCTGTTTCATTAAAAATGTATTTTAGCAGACCAAAATACAAAAATTCTAAAGAATTTATTTATTTACATATTTATTTTGTTTGTTTTTTGTGGTCCTCAAGTGCTTTCAACTTGATGATTTTGGCCCTCATGGTAAAATGGTTTAAGACCTTTCCCTGTCTGAGCAGTGACTGGGTCAGAGGGAGGATGTAGGCTGAACACAACCCTAAAAACAATGTCACACTCTCCACTAAACATCTCAGGGTCACTTATTAATTCACATGCATGTTTTTGGAATGTGAGAAGAAAATGGAGTACCTGACAAAAACCTCACACATTTTAATGGAGAACCTTTTTGCCCCTGACCTTCTTATACAACTGCTGATATGAAGGTTATTATACAAAACCAAGATAGCCTAAAGCAAATCAGAAGTCTCAACAACTTGTTTATCCTTTCATTATCTATTACAAACACAATGTGAATGACTCAAAGGTCATCGAGGAATGAATCGTGTCAGAGCAGCTCTGTCTCAGGGCAGCTGTGGGAACGTTGTGATTTCATATTTTTGACCAAAGTAGGTGACTACTGACTTAAAAGTTCACTTTCACAAAACACTAAGTGTAAAGAAGAGATGTAAGCTTTTTCGTCCAGGGTCTCAGGATTTAACACACTGTTAGGTTAAGGAAATTCTAGATTTCCCAAAATGTGGTCCACATTTACTGAATTTATCCCAGTGGATCAGGAAAAGTGGTTTAAACTGTAGCCAGTGTAAACATGTGCAGTCATATTTGGTAAATTAGGATTTGCTTTCTGACGAGGTTCATCTGTCAGATTAAAAGTACCTTTTGAAAATAACAAAAAGTACTTTGGTATTAAGCAGACTTTGTAGTAAACCCCAGTGTTAATTTTTTTGTCACTGGTCTAATGTAATATTCTAATTTTAAATGTCATGTTTTCTTTAGCTGTAAGTAGAAAATCATCATAGTTAATAGAAATAAAGGCATTCAAGCATCCATCTGGTGTAGTTAATCTATATAATGTGTTTCACTAAAAGTTCCTCAAGTAAATAGACTTTTGAATAAAATTTGTTGAACGGGTCAGTAGGCTGTCTCATCAAGTGCTATTTTATGTCCTCATGTTTATGCTTTGTTATTTTCTTTTTTGTTTCCTGTGATGCCCCGTAAAGTACGTTGGTTGATTGTGTCTGAATGGTGCTCCATAAATAAACTTGCCTTGCTATTAAATGCACAAATCCCAACTTGAGCTTATGATCGAATATTATCTCAGTTTGTACCTTAGTTTTCAAATTATTTGGAAAGAATGATAAGGAGTTATGTAATGTGTAACTAATCAGTGTTCCAATATTAAAATATCTTACCTGGAGTTCATTGCTGAAAGGAAAGAAAAACGTCACTTCTGTTGGAGCAGCGTGGAGTTTCAGGCTGTTTGATATCTCTGACTGATCTTTCATTGAACCTTCATTCTAAAAGCAGCAAATGCTATTAATAAGTGGGAAAAAAAAACTACTAAAAATCCATTCTTAACCTAATCAGAATTTACTAACAATGACTTTACAGCAGCCACAATTAGACTGGCTTCACTCAGTGTCTCACAATGTGAACAGAAACTCTGAGTGAAAGAAACCTGGTGAGGAATAAAGGAATTCTGGGGAACATCTATCTGTGTGACTGCCTAGCTTCACATACCAAACAGTCCACAAACCTACCTTTCAGGTTTTAGGTGAGAGCAGGCATGACGCATGTCTTTTGTTGGCTGCTTGGACACTCCTCTGGCTCAGGAAGGAGCTGACGTTGTGGAGACACATCACGACCGAGCGTGGCCCCATCGATCTGATACGTCACTCTGTCTGTCGCGTCACATCACACCGATAACGTTACGTAACTACAAACATAAACACACAAGTGTTCGAGGTGAAGATGGCTGAAGAAGTTGAGTCATAGAGAAAATAAACTAAAACTGAGTGTAGCAACACAAGAGTAGACATTCTTAGCCTGATTTTTCATTGCCTCCCTCCATTGTCTTCTTACTATATTCCTTTTTAATGGCAAAACACTTTTTTACAGTGCCTATAAAGTATTCACCTCTTTAATTACTTTTGCAAATCAATCAGTTTCAAGATTTTTTTATTTATCAAAAAACAAACAAAAAATCTACCCCTTCAATGTGGAAGTGAAAACTGATTTCTACTAATTAATGACAATTAAATAAATAATTTCATGTAAAATAAGTGATTGCATAGATATTCATCTGCTGATGGATGAAACACTTTTTGACAAATCCTCTCCCCCCTGGTTTTTACAGAAAATAAGAACAAAAATATTTCACTTAAAACAAGTGATATTCTTCCTGCTGAACTGTGCTGAGCTGTGAACAGACCTTTCCACATCCCCCCACATATTCTCCATTGGATTAAGGTCTGGGTTTTAACTAGACCCCTCCAAAACATCCAGCTTTTTGTCTCTTTAGCTGTAACTGGATGCTTCGGCCCATTGCCTTGCTGGAACAGAAATGTTCTCTGAAGCCGTAGTTCTCTTGCAAGTGAAACATACTGTCTTTTTTTGTTAAAAATGTCACATTTTGTTGGTCCTGATTGATTTGCAAAAACAGTAAAAAGTGTAAAAGATCCAATACCTTATACAGTGCTGTTAACATGTCAATTAACAATCAAATATTAGTCAAAGATTAAACCTGAGGAGGAATGTCAAGCCAAGAAGCTGGTTTAATTTGTAGTTCAGTACATTCTCTGTTGCCACCACCAGAACAAAATGCTGATACAATGGAACAGCATGTTCCCCATTTTAAAACGTCACTCAATCAGATCAGCTGAAACATTTCTATATCTCTGTTCCAGTTTTAGATTGAATGTATCAGATAGATAGGTGTGTGGATTATTCATAATAAGCAAAATGCTATTGTAAATACTGGTCAGTAGATTCCACACATTAACCATGGCCTCAATGTTGCAGTTATTTTGTTGTTTTAAATATTTATCTTTTTTTTTTTAAATTAATGATAATGCAATGGTAAGACTTCAATAATGTGTTTTTGTGGACGCATAATTAAAAATATATTCTGTATCATTTTTGGTAACAAGCTTCATTGTTCTGATATTTTCTATCGACTGAGCCATTTAGAGGCCAAGAAGCCAAAGTAATCATTATATCATAACTGGATATAGCGATATAGTTCAGTAGCTACTAGTATTAATTTCATGAGTTTTATATATTAAAAAACGTATTTAGAAAAGTTTGTTTATTTCTTTATAATTTATTATTTTGTAATTGTGCCATTTATTTATTTATTTCATGTTACTTTTTAAAATATGAAAACTTACACATAGCTTTCTAAATTTCTCTGTTGGATGACATCATTTCTAAATATTAATTAATGTCAGATTTTCTGACTTAGTACTAAAACAGTCTTTCTGTGTTATTTCTTTGACTGTTGCTTTTTTTATTTAATTGGGTAAAAATGTGTTAAAGCAGTGCTAATCTTACTTGTGTACAATCTTTGGACACTCCAGCCACCCCTGCTCATCATGATGAGCTGTCACGCTTAACCTTTAAAAGTTTCTTCTTGTCATCAATGCCAAATAAATATTATTTTTATTCTTCTCTAAGTACAAAAGTTTTCCTCCAGAAAGCTTTTAGCTCATCCGTGTGGGTATCTCCACTAAGTTTTTTTTTTTTTCCTGGTTGCCACACAGTAATGACAGACTGGATTATCTGTGGACTTTGACACTTCTGTTTTGCCATCTTTCACCCGCAGTCTTAACTGAACTAAATTATTAGAAAAATATATAGGCAAAGAAGACTGTACCCACTCAAATTATTGTGAATGTTTCGCCCCGGTTCGACAGGGGGCAGAAGCGTTTCGTGCTTTCTCGGCCCGTGACGCAGTATTTAGCAAGCATGCGCATGACGATCTTTCTTTTCCCAGTGCAGCGGAGTCCCAGCCCCAGTCTTTGGCTCCGGGCTCCTTCATAAGGAGACTAAAAGACTCCAAAATGGTTTGTAGTTCGGCCTCATTTGAGTCCACACGCATTCCCTAAACATCCAGGCATTGTGTTCTGTCGACAGATGGTTCAAAACATGTTTGTTATGTTCAGATGATTATGGATTTATTCCAGCTAATGCCTGACCGGTGCTGCTCAAACGTGGCCTACCCGTTCTTCTTCTCAGTTTCTGCTTCCTGTTGTTTAGAAATCACATTTCTACTGGCACTTCTTTGGGGAACACTGCTTATTTTTCATAATTGTATCCCCATATTTTTGAGTGCTAATTCATTTAATTAACGCTGCGTTAGCAGACGTGTTAGCTTAGCTCTTTTGACTGCAGGCTAGCTAATGTTAGCTTGGTGTAATGCTGCTTTCTGACACTGACGGCTATGTTAATACTCAAGCACCCGTTCTACAGACATTATCACACTCTGTCACTGCTTTCCTGTGGCATGCTAACCGTTTGCTTCTGTGTTTGCAGGGTTTTGTTAAAGTAGTGAAAAACAAGGCCTACTTTAAGAGATACCAAGTCAAATTCAGGAGGAGGAGAGGTAAAACCTCACCATAACATTCCCACATAAACATTACCATAGCTGTCATTGTGCAACTAATCCATCTCTCTTCCATCCAGAGGGAAAGACTGACTTTTTCGCTCGCAAGCGCCTGGTTGTTCAGGACAAGAACAAGTACAACACGCCGAAGTACCGCATGATCGTCCGCTTCACCAACAGGGACATCATCTGCCAGGTTAGCATCAGAAGTCCTGATATCAATGTGAAAAATAAAAAATAAAACAGTGCTCATGATTTCTGTAAAAATGCTGTTGCAGATTGCCTATGCAAAGATTGAGGGAGACATGATCGTGTGCGCCGCCTACTCGCACGAACTGCCAAAGTACGGGGTCACCGTGGGCTTAACCAACTACGCAGCAGCCTACTGCACTGGCCTGCTGCTGGCCCGCAGAGTGCGTACTCGCTCGCATTTAGGGAAAAGTTAAAAAAAACAACAACTTTTAATTAGCTCATAATGTTTCACAACATTAAAACTGTGCGTTACTTTCCAGCTTCTGAACAAGTTCGGCCTGGATAAGGTGTACGAGGGCCAGGTGGAGGTGACTGGGGACGAGTTCAATGTGGAGAGCATCGACGGTCAGCCGGGAGCTTTCACCTGCTACCTGGACGCCGGGCTCGCCAGGACCACCACGGGCAACAAGGTGTTCGGCGCTCTGAAGGGGGCTGTGGACGGGGGCCTGTCCATCCCACACAGGTACGTCCTGGACAGCGTTCAGACCATCTGCTGTCCGGCACTGTAACGCTGGGCGTTAGCATCGCGGCACTCTTTGGTTTGCTGCTCGAATGCCTCTAATCAAACACTGAATGAAAACTTCACTGAAGTTTGAAGTAAAACGTGCAGAAAGAGACTCAATAGGTTAGGTGCACTTTAACGATATTCAGGTAACTTTATCATTTTTGATATTTGCTGTAGGAAACTTGATTTTAAACAAGCAAAAAGAGAATGGAAGTCGTTTGTAGCACTCGTTCAGAAACAAATAAGCAATTAATCAATTAATCGCATGATGAGTTGAAATGCGTTCAGTAATTTCCATGTTCATGACTTATCACTTTCATCTTTTGTTTCTTTTTTCCTAAAACTGGATGACAAAAATCTCCAGTCTGGGGTTTTGGTCTCAGCCAGCCCGTTTCTTATTTTGAAGGACAACTTAGGTTAGCGATTTTGAAATTTTGTTTTTGTTTTGTTTATTTATTTAGGATATTTAAAATGTCCAGTTGTGGTGTTAAATGTTTATTGAACTTTGAGAATGTGTTCTTGCGTTATTATGCCATTGTAATACTTGAAAATGATCTCAAAACAATATTATTGTTGAATTGATTGCGATAACTTCTGGAGCAATTTATCATCCAGTAAATGCATCATCCCAGGCCTAATAAAGACTTTAGTTTCCAACCTGATGACAAAAAAACCCAGATCTAAAATCTCGTACTTTGAGTGTGATTTGGTTGTGCAAATTCAGCTGTTGTTCCCTGAAAAATGTGTGTAACCTGCATTTGTTGCTGTATCCATACTCATGTTTTATCCGGAGCTAAGAAATGTTGTGGGATGTCTGAAGAGCTCCCTGCTCCTCTCAGGTGGTTTTAGTGCTGATGCAGCTGGAACATTGTTTGTTTTTGATTTCACAAATAAAGATTTTAGAGATTACATTCAAAATATGTGCTCAGGTTCTGGAAAGATGACAAATCTATGAAATTCCAGATGTTTGGGAATAAATGTTCAAATTGACAAAAAAAAACAAAAAAAAAAAACACTTCCTTTCTGAACTTGTTCCATGATCACCAGTTAAAAATGACTATTTCTGAAAAATGTAAAAGTTGCATCAATGAGATGCTTTTCCACTGCAGGAGGGTTTTGAGGAATCTGGACAGTTTTCCCGGGTTGATGTTTTCTTCCCTATGGAACCAGGATGTTTTGAGAGTTTTTAACTAAAAGTGAAACTTTGTAGTGGAGGAAGACTGATTCTAATTTCCAGCCGGATGCATTTCTGACTCTTAAAATGCTGACACTGGGAGGCCGTCTGATTTTTACCACTCCAACACTCAAATGTTGGACATTACCTTCTGATATTCCAGATAGTCCAGATTTTGATTGAGCCTCACGGTCTGCTGCCACTGCCGAGGACGACTTGGACGTGACATGTGATTGGAAACAAGATTTGTTGAGCATCAGAAATTCACACTGTTGGTGAATATTTATTGGCTGGAGTGACTGATGAACAAACTCGTACAAAAAGGAACCATTTGAGTTTTTCTGCCTGCAGATTGTCTCAGATGAGGGGACATCTGAGTCCACACGCATTCCCTAAACGGAATGTGTGTGCATTTTAACTGGACTTTGTAAAGAAAATAAATAAATAAATAAATTGTTTATGTGCTAATTTGCTGCCGTTTACATTTCAGTTTGACCCATTTCTGATTGTGTAGATGGTGAATGAAGCTCTCAGTAGATTTCAGCTCATTTCTCTGAAGTTAAACTCCGGCCCACTTTAAATGCTTGTCTGTTTCTTCAGTAGAAAAGTTGCTCTTGTCAACATGTGTGTATTTTATTGTGAGAACAGATCACCAAGTAATTTTTCTCCATTGCTGATTTATCCAGAACTTCACGGTTTGGTGGGATAGCTTGTTGATGTTGCTGCTGACCGTCACTGGAGCAAGACGGTCAGCCTGAACAATGAGTGGCAAATCTGTCAGGTTTATTGTAACCGTACAGTCAGTGTGAGCAAAATTAATATTGCACAGATTTGCTTGGATTGAGATGAATATAAATAGTTGCCATGATGGTCAGTGTTTGGGATTGTTGGAAAACCAAGAGAGGCTGATATTTTATCCCAATCAAAATTAAACCATTTTTGTGACGCAATAGAAATATTTACAAGGAATACTTTCCCTCATACTCTAAATATAGGAGAAAAGAGCTGAGAAAAAAAAAATTACAAGCAGTAAGATTACACATATAAACATTTTTATTCTTTTTGTTCCTGGATCAGAACTTGACATCATGTAACGTTGAGGTAGAACTAAGAAATACTGCCACCTGCTGATGGGAGTTGGCATCCTGATAACCCAAAGTTTTTCACCCTTCTTATGGAAAATTTGCAATGAACTCTCAATAATTGATTGGTGTGAAATGTGGTTGATTTGTTTTTGGTGTGAATTTGTCTCATCTGCACATTGTATCTGGTAAAACACAAATCCTCGTTTTTATTCCTGCTTTTCTGTCATTAGGAAACTGGTGATTGGTTATTATGAGTTATAAATGGCTAAGCTTAAAGTAAGTTAAATGTTCCTTCCCTCTTCCAGCACCAAGCGTTTCCCTGGTTACGACACAGAGAGCAAGGAGTTCAATGCTGAGGTTCACCGTAAGCACATCATGGGCCTGAACGTGTCTGAGTACATGAGCTACCTGATGGAAGAGGACGAGGAGGCGTACAAGAGGCAGTTCTCCCGCTTCATCAAGAACGGAGTCACCCCAGAATCGGCAAGTTGTCCCAGTCAACCATTGCTTTGCTTTGCTAATTTTCCTTGGGTGTGTTTCTCTGGGATGTTTATGCAGGACAGGAGTCGTATTAAAGACTAAATATCTGTTAAAATCAGACTTAGACTTTGTCATTGCACAGACATGATGGTGAATTTGGCAAGAAAACGTTGTTTTTTTTTGGTAAACAGAAAAAAATACTAATGTACATTATTTATATATATATATATATATATATATATATATATATATATATATATATATATATATCTTTATTTCTATAGCGCTTTTCACTCGCTCTTTTATATGTAACTTTATTTCTATAGCGCTTTTCACAGACCAGAGTCACAAAGTGCTGCACAAAATGTAAAAAATAAATAAATTAAAAGCAACATACAAAACAATAAAACACAGTATTATGCTAAAAAGCAAGTTTAAAAAAGTGGGTCTTAAGTTGTTTCCTAAAAGTGTCTATACAATCCAGAGATCGAATGGTACAAGGTAGCTCATTCCAGAGGCGAGGCGCCACAGCTTTAAAAGATCTGTCTCCTCGAGTCTTAAAAAGGGTCCGAGGAACCATCAGCAAGTTCAGATTGGACGACCTGAGGCTCCTAGTCGAAACATAAGGCTGGATGAGGTTCTTAATATAGTCTGGCGCCTGTCCATGAAGAGCTCTAAAAGTCAGTACCAGGATTTTGTAGTGCATCCTGTAAGATACAGGCAGCCAGTGCAAGCTTTTGAGGATGGGTGTAATATGTTCCCTCCTGTGAGTGCAAGTGAGCAGGCGTGCAGCTGAGTTTTGTACTACCTGCAAACGCGCAAACTCCCTCTTGTTAAGACATGTGAACAGACTGTTACAATAATCCAATCTCGATGAGACAAAAGCATGAACAATCATCTCAAGCTCACCATAAGTCACCATCTTACGAAGTTTAGAAATGTTCCGAATTTGGAAAAAGCAGTTCCTAACAAGCTGATTTATGTGCCGCTCCATAGACATCGCTCCGTCCATGAAAACACCCAGGTTGCGCAGGTTGCTTTTAACTGTGCAGCTCAAGTTTCCGAGGTGCTGCTTAATTCCAGGCACAGCACTGTCAGGAATTAGTGCTGTGTCAGGAGCAACAATCAAGGTCTCGGTCTTGATGGAGTTCAATAATAGGCTGTTTTCAGTGAGCCATTTTGTCACTTCAGCCAAGCAACTAGTTAGAGTGCAAATATACATATGTACATATGTAAAAGTGTACATATGTAAAAGTGTTATTGGTGCAAATAATAAAAATGAGTTGAAAAACATCAGGGGCTTCTAAGTTTGGGATTTAGACCAATCAGTCCCAAACTTGGTCCCAAATTTGCAACAGTGATATTTGTTGCAAAGCAGAAATCAAATGGAAGAACTGAGGTGATGTGACTTTGTCCCTCAGTCTGTCGATCGGGAGACAAAACGTCACGCTTGTTACACTCACAAAACACGCTTGTGTTTTTTTTTCTTTTTTTTTTTTTCTGACTTCCGGTTTTTCCATATTAACTAAAAGTGTGTAATTATGGTGTGATTGACACGTAAAAATTTAACAATTAAATACCTTGAGGTCAACATTCACTGTTTTCACAAATTAACTACTGTGGATTCAACAGAACATTGGTTTTATCGGCTATTACTACAACAGCTATTTCATATCCTGCCTTTGGCAAGATCAACTAATTGTGTGGAATTTCACTTTTTATTGTGGATTCTATTTTGTTTATTATTGTCAGCAATATTGTTTGCGTTTTCCACATCGCAGAACTCGTACACCGTTATGATGCAACATTAGGGGTTTGGGTTTAACCCCACCAGCCCAGTCAGAGTCCAGCTGGTGATGGACTCGCTTGCCTGAACATGGCGGACCATAAAACGGCTCACTGACCCGTACTGACCCGTACCGTTCTGCTCAATGGAAATGGCATAAATTGTTGAGCTCAGGAATTTTCATGCTGATATGTTTTTTGAAGAGTGATTTTGCTCAGAGACTTCATAATCCATTTTATTTATGGTTTTGGTTGTTTATTAATTTTATTTCGTATATTTAAAATAGAGTTCTGTACAAAATTTGTGTATTCATCTTTAAGACAGCTAGAGAGCATTATGACATTATGAATGTATTACTGGAAAATAGTCTAAAAACATCAATATTGCTGTTTATGACAATAATTACTGTGAAGTAAAGTAAAGTTTATTAGTAAAGTTTAAAATAAAGTCGTCCAGTAAAGTTTATCGTGCTAGGCCTAAAACTCAGTTATAGAATTATTACAATTTATACACCAAAACTGAAAAATACATTAATCTGGTCTTTATTAAATTCAGAAAAGAGCAACAATGTACTGTTGGTTGTTAAGTGTTGGGAATTCTCTGAGAACTTCCTTCTGACCCTTTAAACAAATAGGGGAAAAACATCAGATTTTTCTATATGTGAAATCACCAGTCGGAACCAATAAAGCTAAAATTGATTGTTTTTGATCAGAAAGCTTTTTTTTTTTCTTGGCATTAGGAACATGGTTGCATTGGTTGCTGATGATATCCGTACCCTGGATAACTTGAGCTGGAAACGTCTAATACATTTTTAGGACGTTCTAAGGATCTTTTGTTGGAATTGTGAGGTTAAATGTTGAATCTGACTCTGTTAATGTTTCTTTCAGATTGAGGAGATGTACAAAAAGGCTCATGCTGGTATTCGTGCAAACCCTGTTCATGAAAAGAAGCCTCCCAAGGAGATCAAGAAGAAGAGGTGAGAAGTGATTTGTGTCAAAGCTGTTAAAAAAGCACCGCTTCCCAACTGCTATGAACGGAAACATTCATTTTGTAGATGCTGGATGCTTTCTGTACCAATTTTCTTTTAAATTTTAATGCTAATAGAAGCAGTTGTTAATCTTTTTTTTTTTTTTTTTTTTGGCTCAAAGGTGGAACCGTGCCAAGCTTTCTCTGGCCCAGAGGAAGGACCGCGTCGCCCAGAAGAAGGCCAGCTTCCTTCGGGCTCAGGAACAGGAGGAGGCAGACTGAGGCGTCTGCTCCGTTCCAAACGCAGAAATTTGTTCTAATAAATATGGAAAAGACGTCAGTTTTCCAGTCTGCTTTGTTTTCCTATTCACTTCAGTTCATTCACAGATCTGATATAGAAACATGAGTAGTATGGCAAAGTTTTTCTGAACTTGTGCGGTGAAGTTGTCAGTTCTGGTGTTGGCGTTTAAAAGGGCTGCAAAAGAAGATGCAGGTTATTTTCTCCAGTTAAAAAAAAAAAAAAATTACCCAGAAGACATGAAATTCTTTTAGTAATTCCAATTGCCTAAAAATCTCAAACTAATGTGATTTTATTAATTTTATTCAAAGCTAAAAAGTAGCAATTACTATTCCTGTTTCCAAAATGCATCAGAAAATGATGTCCAGTTTGACATTAAGTAATTAGATGGACAAAAATATAAATATTACCATAATTAAAATGATGTTTTTGAGCTTTTTCTTTCAAATTCTTGACCCTATGGAGTATCACAAGCTGCCATTAGGTGGTGCTGTGGTAGCCTCCAAGCTCTAGTTTTATCAACTTTGCCTGAGAGATGAGTCAGTGGTGGTACCGTTTCAGCTTCAAAGCCATAACTGAGTTTCATCACCTCAGGGGGAAAATAAAGTGGGAGGGGCTATCTACTTTGCTCTGTACAGATTAGAAAAAATTAACATGTCCATCTTAAAATGGTACAACTGAAACGGTAAGAGGGTTTCAAACTAACTTTTTAATTACTATTTGCTGTTACACAATTGATTTATTTCAGTAACGAATAAAAAGTTAAGCTTGTATAATAGTTATACACAGATATATCAAGTGTTTATGTTAAAGATTATTTCACAACTAATCAAAACTCCAACTTTGTAGGTTTGATACAGAGTATGTTGCATCTAAGAGGGAAGGCTTGACATGAGAGCTGTGATGTAGACAGACATCTTGAATGGGACGGTTAAGCAGCATTGTCACTTTCGTAAAGGCAAACTGTACAGACTGCTGTATCTAAGTATTTTCATAAAGTTGAGTGGATGGAAAAGGGTTCAAAAGCTACAGCAATAACTGCAGCCTTAATATTGTAAAGGAAAACCTGTTCAAAGTTCAAGGACACATTCGCATAGTATAAACTGCCAGCTATGAAAGCCACCATACACGGAACAGATGAGGCCTGTGACAATTTGGGCTCTGGAGAAAAATGAGTAATGATTAAATGGTCTAAAGTCCTCTTTAAAGATGAAAATCAAAATAGTGTTTCAATTGGAAATGAAGGCCGAGTAGCAAAGGCACACAATCTAAACTATCAGACCAGTATAAAGTTTTCACAGTCACTGACAATTTGAGGTACTATGTCATCAGCTGGTGTTGGTCCATTAGGTTCTAAGGTTAGATCAAAAAAATTTAGAGCACTTCATGCTTCCTGATGTTGACAAATGTAATGGAGATGCTGATTTTATTTTCCAGCTTGGCCTTGGGAGCTGCTCACACTGCTAAAGTACCTGCTTTAATGGCCATGTTATAGTACTGACAAACTGGCCTGACTCAACAGAAAATTGATGGAGAGCGAGGAAGATAAAATGCCAGATGGGCTGAAGACTAATAAAGCCAAAACACACCTTAGCAGAACAACAGGCTGATCATCTCCATCCCACATTGTTGCAGTGATGCAGAAATGTATGCGAAACGGGGCCTGCCCACTTATTAAGTGAATGTTGTGTACATGAACATACTTTTCATCAGGCCCACTTTACTGTAATAAAGTTTTTATTTTGTTGTTTTTGGAATCTGACATTCTGAGAAACTACATTTTGGATTTTAATTAGCTGCAACATAATCATTCAAATGAAAAAGTAAATGCTTTAAAGATAATCATCGCCGTCTTTATTGGATGCATTGGCTCAATTGGTAAACAAAAATGCTGAATCATCTAATCCAGGGCTCTCTAGCTCTACTCCTCAAGATCTGCAGTTGTGCCAGTTTTAGATCCAACGTGTTCCAACTCGCCTGAATCAAATGAAGAGTTTGTTACCAGGCCTTTGCCAAACTTGATGGCACGCTGAAGAGATAATTCAATCATTTGATTCTGCTGTGTTGGAGCAGGGATGCATCTAACAGCTGTAGAACCGTAGATCTCAAGGAGTAGGGCTGGAAACCCCCCAATTTAATCATATGGCAGAAACTCCAAACATTTAGGCATAAAGACGTGGTGAAGACGAGATGTTCCATCTGAGCTGCAGAAAAAGGTTAATTTGAATGTGGCACAGACAGAGGCTGGTACCTGACAGGCTAGTTTGAGTATTTCAGAAATTGCCGATTAAGATGGCAGGGTAGGAATTCAACATGGATTGAAATACACAACTATCTCTTGAGTTTACAGAGAGTGGTCCAAGAAAGATAACTTATACAGCTAATAGCAATGTATGGAAATACCTCATAGATGTCGATGAATGGATAGACTGACTCCAGCTGATCGACGGGCAACAGTAGCTCAAATAACCACTTGTAACAAGCTTAGAATGTAGAATACTATTTCTGATCATGGAACATACTAAACTCTGGATCAGAGTAGATTCCGCAGCAGAAGAACATATAAAAAACCCCATCTATCACAATCAGACAACACGAGAGTGGAAAGACGTTGCCTGGTCTGACGAGTCCTGATTCTTGCTTCATTTGCTCATATGCTAGGGTCAGAATTTGGTGTAAGCAACATAAAGCATCAGTGGTTCAGGCTTGTGGTGGTATAATGGTTTGGCAAATACATATTGGGATACTTTGTGCCTCTTGAGACCATATGACCATTGTTTAAACACCTACCTGAGTATTGTTGCTGACTGTGTCTATTCTTTCATAACCATGGTGGATCCATTTTCTATGTCACAAAGCCCCAAACACCTCAAGCTGGACTCCTGTTACCAGTCTGAGATGCAGCCACAGTGAACCGTATAGAGTAAGTCAAACTATTTGAACTGAATTACTGAAACAAATCACCTTTTCTAAGCTAGTCTATTATGATGAGATATAACTTGATACCGGTAACTGTCTGATGTTTACTATGTGGAATAAATATACATGAGGTGATATTGAAATGACTGAAAAGACAGCTTTACAATTAAATAATGAATATAAGTAATATTAAATATAAGTGGAATGCTTCCACTACAAAACTGATTGTCCGTTTTAAAGAAGCCAGAACACCCAGGTGTCTTGATTAGGAGTCTTTTGTATGGGAAATTTTCTTCCACAGTAGAGTCTTAAGGTTGTTCAGAATGAGGGAGTGCTCAATCTCCATCTGTTCTGCTGAACCTTTCAGTGCCATACAAGCATAGAGCTGTTTCTCAAGCTCATCGCTCAGGTCAGACGGTGCTCCTCTTTGGATGTAATTCTTAAGGGTATCACAGACTTTTGCCAAGTTTGGCCTGGTGACCTCAGGTGTGCAGCGATGCTTGGTGAGGTCGCAGCTAGTGAGGCAGTCGGTCCCATACAGACAGTCCTCGTCTACATCGCAGCGCTGCTGTCTGATTCTTTCCTGGAAGGTGGCTTCAGGGATGATGTAGCGGGCATCTACGACCTTAAAGTCATGCCGCTCGTTGTTGCCGAAGGTGGTAGTCCTCACATCACACATGAGGAAGCTTCCGTAGGTGCCGTGGAAAATGTCCTCGACCAGTTCTAGCAGGCCAATGGCGATCTTGGCCTTGTGGGGCCACGAGGGGGTGAACCACTGCTCCATGCTGCGCCGCAGACCAGCAGGAATCCACAGCTCAATGATCCAAGGCAGGCTGATGCCGTACAGGGGAGAGTACGGAACCTTCTCCATCATGTACAGATCTCCACAGAAGCCGAGCAGCTTGGGTGTGTGATCTCGTTCCTGCAGGACGAGCGCCAACAGGAACTCGTTGAGCTGCAGCAGGGCCCACGTGGAGCGAGCCTCTGGCAGTGAGATATGGCCGTCTTTATTGGAATCTGTAAAGGACAATACCTGGGTTCCCAGGTCTGCGAGATTGGCTTGATCCCCGACTTTTGCCTGTGGAGAAATGAATAAGCTTTAGAACATACCCAGGCTTTGAATCTAGACTTGAACAAAGCCTTCCTGACCTTCAGGTGACTGATTATCATCTCTCTGAACTTTTCCACTGAGGTTCCCTTGGTGGGCTTGTTGAAAGCAACGGGAGCAGCCTCCTTTCTAGGCTCCATCTCGCCTCCAAGATCATAATGGGGGGCCTCCTCCATCTGGCACTTAATGACTCCTTGTAAATCTCCCCAGTTTCCTGAGTAAACCTGAAAAGAACAACATGGTGCTTATAGGAGCAGTTGGTTATATAACAAGCAGACTGCAGAAAAAGGCATTGATTCCTCTCCAACCTGGCTGTTAGGTTTGGCAGTGAAGCACTTCCCCAGGTAAAGTGTTTCCTTCTCACACAGGCTGCTGCAGGCTGTGCCATCGATGACTCCTTTCCTGTATTTGTCACACTGATAAATACGAATAGAGCCACATCTCAATAGACACATCAGTTTGATCGGTTGGATTGGTGCGTGAAGGAAATGAAAGTACTCACGATGGAATTTTTGCAGTCGTGCCCTCGACAGAGCTCTGTATAGGTCGAGTACTCCACATACACGATCCAGCTTCCTACAAACACAGCCAGCCAGGAGAAGAACAAGTACTTCATGTGTAGGTAGGAGAATCTGGCCTGTTGGAGACAGGTTTCAAGGATTTAAACCGCTGTTAATTTGATTATTAGCTTCAAAATCTATTCTAGTTAAATTGATTAAATTTACATAACTACTACTAGAGCACATTCATAAAGCGACTGGTAGGCAACACAGAGGCAAATCAAGATGAGATAGGGAGGAAAACGAGTCTAATCCCCAACTTTTTCATCGCAAGACAACTACTCTTCCCACTTAGCCTGTCCATTGCCTTCCTAAGCAATTCTGCTTGATTCTCATCTCCCTTCACTGCTCCATCTGGGCTTTCTCCCATTGACCTGGATATCTCCGATAGAATTTCAACTGGGCCAATCAGTGAAAAGAAAGAGAAGTCGTGAACGATGATGTTGATTTTCTGTGCTGTTTTAGAATTGTAGTCTGTAATTTTAGCAATGGCAGCGTAGGAAGTGGACGAAGCCGTTTAGTCTGTGTTGGCTCCAAATAATAAATGGCTATTATTAACATTAGTAGCCATTTTGTTCGGCTTGGCTCTTCTCTTAGCACAGTGAGAGATGGTTGTTTACAGCAAGCAATTTCCAGCTTCAAAACCTAACGGCCAAGCGATAGCGATTGGATAAAATTCTAAACTTTGACAGAGTCCACGCCTCCAGCAAGCAATCATTTCTCAATAGCCGAGAGTCCAGGCCCTCTGTACGAAGCAAAGTGTATAAGAAGGGGCTGGTATTTACCAGGCTAGTTCCCACTGAGCCACACTGCTTAAGCACAGTGTGCTCAAACAAAGTTAATATCAGCATCTGATCTGCAATTTGTTGACCCATCCCTCTGTTCCCCAAAAAACAAACATAGAGCTCTTTAATCAAAGTCAATCAACCTGGAGATTGACATTTTCTTACAAAGATTATTTACAAATGGGAAAACATTTTGGACAGTTACTGGTTTCCAAGGAGCAGAATGTTCCAGCAAATTAAAAAGAAAGACTGAACATTTGCAGTCACTAAGCTACTGAACTTCTCTTCACACCAATGTATTCAAATGTGAGGCCATCTGTCAGACAGCTAAAGCTGGCTGGGTGTAAACTGGGTCATCAGACCAGTGATCCCAAACACATCCACAAATCTACAGCAGTTGTCCCTGAACCTGCAGATTTTTTTTTCTTATCTTATTGACCCTTTATAAGTGACGTCACTGTCTTCGTATTTCTGCCAGCTCCGCCATGACGGCCGTCAAAACAACTTATGCGCTTCTGTAAAGTAAAACATGTCACAAAACACACACCTGGTAACCTTATATCGGTTTTATCAAGTCGATTTTACAGTAAAAATGGTCACAGGCCATGGTCGGCTGCGGCCTGTGACCGCAGAGGTCAACTGAGAAAGACAAGGGTGAAAACCAAACTGTCATTTTATTGTATAACTTTTAATGAGGAAAGATATGGCGGTGATGGTATGGGTCGGTTTCAAAGCTAGCTATTTCAAGCTTTTGTAAATACCGCCGTCTATGAGACGGGTGTGTTACGCTCAAAGACAAATTAGCTTTACTCTTAACAAATAGAAGCCATGAGTAAACTGGTAAAAACAACTTTGGAAAACAATTTCAGTCGCTCTGTTCAATACTCCCGTTCTTCACTTCCGACGTTCATCGAATGATGAAGTGACGTAGTTGCAAAGGGTCAATAGCTTTTTTTAAGAAATAATAACTGATATAACACATATTTTTGTTCATATGAAGTTTTTGTTATCTAATGTGGAAGCCGGGAAATACCTTAAATATGTATCGTCTGCTGATGCAAAAGACGATCATGGAGATGTTCGTCTTACTGACCAACTAAAGCAAAGAAAAAAGTAGCAGCTGAACAGAAAGTTTAGAGGATCAATCAGAAAAACAGAAAAATATCTACGGAGACTAATGTTCAAAACAAAATATCTCACAGTTCCATTTCTGTTTCATTGTTAGTTCAAATAGTGCATTGTGCATTTTGATGAATTCTAAATATAATTGGCTTGCTTAACTGATTTTCCTAAGTCAGTGTTGTAATCTGAACTTACAGCACTTATTTGTGTCTTTCCTATTAATCCTGTTACTGGTTTTAAATCTAAACATTTTACAATAGGGTCAGTGTATTCTCTGCTTCTCCACCATAGTGTTGACTTCTAAGAACCTCTAAGTAAAATGGCAGCAACATGTAGTCATTTTTTTTTTCTCAGCCACTTGATGGCAGTAGAAAATTTCTGAACCAACATCTCCTTACTTTGCCAAATTTGTGCACAAAACAAGAAATTTGACTTCCGTTCCACTTTATCTAATTATGTGATGTTTTTTTTTTATTCCTTTGGAACATGTCTGAGTATTTGGAGTTGCTGCTTCCTTTCAGATTCCTGTCAATGTTTTTAGTTCTTCTGTAAATAGAGCAGAGTCAAAGTCAATCAGAAGAAATGTGAGTAAATCAGAACCGTGATTGTAGGGCATGTTGTGGTTCTCCAAAGGAAGTGACTCATTTTACAATACAGAAACCATCAAATAGTGGATAAAAACTATCTGCAGAATTTTGTCTCCTAACAGCTGAATATTAATAGAAACACCCACCGAGCTGCACTGAGACACACTTCATTAACATTTATGCCAAAGTCGATAACAGGTGACAAAACGTGGATGAGTTCAGGGAATATGAATGTTTTTTCAAGGGACTGCATGTATAAGAGGTACAAGTTGTGTGAGGACATGATTGAGTGGAGGCTGGAAGAGCTGAATCAGAGTGTATTCATCCCAGTGGATGTTTAATAATTCAATGTAAGTTGTGTTTACATGTGGGACACTCCAGAGTCATTATCTTGTCTTTTGGTTCTCTTTCTGACTCCGGTCTGGCCGGATTCACAGCGGCATTCCTCCAAATGGAGAACATTAGAGGAAATCAACGCTGCCTCTCCATCTGTTGACAAGTCCTGCAGTCAGTGCATGACAGTGATGGATCTCCCCCCCTCCCCCCGTCTACACTCCGCAGATTTCACTTCCACTTCATATCTGACACGTCGTCCGTCTCTTCATTCTGCTCTCCTTTCTCTAATATGCAGTTTTCAAGTTCCATTTTCCTGTTTGTCCTTTCAAAGACTTTAGACAGTTTAGAAGAAGAAAAAGCAAAAAAAAAACAAAAAAACAAATTGATCATTTTCAACACTAAGACAACAGATTAAATTATACTGTTATATGAGTCTCTTTCCAAATGGAACCTGCATCCATTTTCTGCTGTTAACACTACAGATAATGAAGAAATCTGCTTTCAAGCAGTCTGTAAGTCACTCGCTAATCCGATTTCTCTCTGTGAAGTGGCCTCTAATCACTTATTCTCTTCTGTGATCATCCAGTTTTAAGGAAAAGGTTTGGTATGGTCATGGCACTGAAACCCATAGCAGCATATTCAGCTGGATTTACTGTATGTCTGGACTTTGACAGGGCCATTCTGGCATAAATTACTTTGATCTAAACCATTTTCTTGTGACTTTGGCTGTTGGGTCATTATCCGGCTAAAAGCAGAACCTCCTCCAGAATCTCAAGTCTTTTGTATCTTGAACCAGAACATTTCCACTAACGTCTTCTGGTTCTGGGGATGCAGAGCAGAACCAGAACCAGAACCAGAACCAGAACCAAACACAGAGAAGCAGGATTCAGTTTTTATGTTCCACTAATCTGGAACAAACTTCCAGAAAACTGCAAAACTGCCAAAACACCGAGTTCCTTTAAATCACGGCTAGAAACCAACCTGTTTAGAGTCGCTTTTCAATAGTAGTAAGTGGAATATCGATGAACATATTTGATTAATATTTTCTTGTTAATTTTGATGATGGCATTTGATAAAATCTAATGTTTATTGCTTGTTTTATAATAGGTGATTTGATTAATTTTTTATGACGTTACAAGGCCTTCTACAGAAATCTGTTGTTTACATATTAGTTAAAACTGTTACAGTGTCGTGATGGTAAAGTTCGAGACAGATAATCTGTGAGAAATGCACTGAAGAAATGCACCACTCCCCATCAAAAACAACCAATCAGAGCCAGGAGGAGGGTCTTAGTGCTGTCAGTCATGCTTGTATAGGTGCTGCTAAAAATGCGTATAGTGGAGAAACAATGTAATGTACCAGGAAAACCGTTTATCTGCTGCCATCAGTGGCTATGCTAACTAGCATGAGCATTCATGACAGGCTCTGTTGTGGTATAGCGTGTCTCAACTCTGATTGGTTGTTTCTGACCAACCAACTCTTCTTCAGATGGAAGAGCTTGACTTTTTTTTCACAGATTATTTGTCTCATAACATACCTTCATAGTGACAGTTTTCACAAATATGTATAAAAAAACAACAAATAGTCAGTTGAAAAAAAAAACTATTAATTATTCTCCACTTCCATTTGGTTATCAGAAATAATTTTATTTGTATTCATCAGTGACTCCTAGTGATTTTCTCATAATGTCTGATGATAAACTAAATTATAAATTAAATCATTTTTAAAAAATATATTGTTTAAACAGTTTCTGGGATTGCAACAACATTCATGTCATATTGATACACATTCCTTTTCCACATGTTCTATTAAGCAGCAAATTTCTTCATTTATTGCAGTTGGTGTAAAAACAAGCATCTTTTAACTTATGATGTGATCTAGATGAAGATAAACATCTGGTGTTATCTCTCTGTTTTTGAAGCTTCCCCATCAGATTCCCCCTGCTATTTTATTTATTTTTGTATTGATTGACTTACTTACTAATCTGACCGTGACCGCCCGCTAGATATTTAACTGCCCTGGCCACATGAGTGGGCGCTGCCCGAACCTCACGTCAGTTTTTCCGTAGGTGGGAAACCATTGGCAGCAAAAAGCCTGACGGAAATATCCCTCAGTGGGGAAAACAAACACACAGCTCGGCTTCTTCTAATTGATACTTTGCGGCTTTCATTTCAGCTCTCTGATGCATTTCCATCCGTGGGATTCTGTATTGACCCTTTGTGAGAGAAGAGACTTACACAAACATGG